TCTGGGCTGGGCTGGGCTGATGGGGCGGGGGGGGGGGAGCTCTGGGCTGGGCTGGGGTGGGCAGGCGATGGGCGAGGCGGGTGGTAACTTGTGGCTCCTAGGAACAGGCAGCCAGTGACCTGCCGGGTGGGGGGATTCTTGGCCCCCAGGGACCCCTGTCCCAGCTGCTCCCCCTGGCTGGCAGCTGGGGCCCCCTTTGCTCCCGCCCTGGTGCTGCGTGCGAGCAGGGGGCTGTTCCCGATCGGAAGCCCTGCAGAGTCGGGCCGTGTTGTGGAGCCGGCGTGGGCAGGGGTTGGTCACCGCGTGGTTAACACTAGCTCCTTATCTCTCTCCCAGGCCACCAGCATCACCACGGAAACCTGCCAGTACGAGGACCAGGAGCAGCAGCTGATGCTGGACTGCGTGGAACAGTTCTGTACGTCGGCGCCTGGCCGGGGGGGGGGGGGGGGCCCGGGGGGGAGGGGGCTGCAGTGGCCTCCCTTCGGGGGCCAGTCCTCGCACGGCTGTGAGCTCTCCCCAGCTCAGACACCGGAGACCGCGGGCGCCGGGCATGGAACCCAGGTCTCCATGGGGCACAGCCGGGCTGGGGGGGCGCCCCCATGGGCCCGGCTCCCGGCCCGGCAGCTAACCTCCCGCCCCCCCCCCCCCCCGCCCCAGCCAGCCGGCAGGTGGCCTCTCTCTCCGAGGAGCTGGCCCGCAAGACCGAGGACACGGCCCGGCAGCAGGAGGAGATCAGCCAGCTCCTGGCCCAGATCGTGGACCTGCAGCAGAAGTGCCGCACGGTGAGTGCCTGCCCCGGGGCCGGGGAGCGGCCTGCGTCTGGCAGCCGGGGAGGTGGGGGGGTGACGGCAGCCCTGACCTGCTGTGTCTCCCCCAGTACGGCGCGGAGGTGGAGGAGCTGCACCAGCATCTGGCCGCGACAAAGGAGTCTCAGCAGAAGCTGCGCACCGAGGTGAGTCCCTCGGGCAGGGCGGTGCTGGGCTCAGCGCTCAGCCGCTGCTGCTCCATCCACCGGGCTCGGCCTCCGGCGCCCGCAGGCCCAGACTCGCTCTCTTCGCGTGGGACGTGGGCGCAGCTGCCATGCTGAGGGTGGTGGGGTGCCAGGCCCTGCTGCCCCCACCCTGACCCCTGTCCTGTGCCCGCGCAGCTGCAGGACCTGCAGGAGAAATACGCCGAGTGCGAGGGCATGCTGCACGAGGCCCAGGAGGAGATCAAAACCCTGCGCACCCGGAACCTCCCCAACAGCAGCCTGAACCGCTACAGCCTGCTGCCCCTGGTGAGTGCGGCCGCGGGGCACCACTGCCCAGGGGGGACTCCCATCCTGGGCACTGCGCGTGGGTCCGGCAGGGCTGGGCGCGTTGGAGCTGCACCCCAGGCTGAGCCGGGCACTGTACCACGTGTGAGAATGGCCTGCCCAGGCCCGTTGCACCAGCCCCAGGGGGGAAGCTGGCATGGCTCTGCCTTGCAGGGAGATGAGGGATGCACGAGCTGTGGCATGTTGGGCACATCCGTGCTGAGCTCTGGGCGCTGGTGCCCAGGGGTGGCTGGCTCCGGGCTGCCTGGCAGCTGGCATTTCCCCTCGCCGGCCCCATTGGGATGCCACGTGCTCTCTGCCTGCAGGACTCGCTGGCTGCGGAGATCAAAGGGATCATGAGGAAAGGAGCCGACAGCTCGTCCGCCTCGGAGTACAAGTGAGTCTCCCCCTCGCCGTGGGGCTGGGGCCGTGGGGCCAACTGGCTGCCAGGGCGCAGGCTTAGCTGCGACTCATGGACACAGTGAATCTGATGAGTGGACCCATGTGATGGATGGGGGCTGAGGGGGTGTCCCCTGGGCCCAGATGAGGGCTGGAGGTCCAAGCCCCCGATGATGCTATCTGGCGGGTGGGCCCCTGGGACAGGGGATCCCGCTGACAGGTGCTGTCTGGTGTGTGGGGGGGAGGGGCAGGTGGCCGGCCCCCGGACAGGGGATCCCGCTGACGGGTGCTGTCCCCTCCAGGAGCTACAAGCGGGTTTTCGAGACGGTGAAGGTCGTGAACCAGGCGGTCAAAGCCAAGTCGCGTGCAGAGTCCCCCCAAAACCTGCCCGGCTCCAAGCCGTCCTCGGCCCTCCCCTCGGCAGGGTGCAGCCGGGTCAGCACGCCCCGCACCAGCTATTACGGATCAGACAGCGCCAGCCTGGCACCGGAGAACCTGGAGAGCGCCCTGTAAGTGCCCCTCCCCCTCTCTCGGCGGCTGGGAAGGTGGGTGCCATGCACTGGTGGGCTGGGATCAGTCGGGGCTTCCCCCGAAAGGTCTGTGCTGGGGAGGGATGCTGGGGGGGGTGCAGACATCCGCACCCAGCCCATATCTGACCCCTGCTGGGCTCTCCTGGGTCTCCTTGTTGATGTTCTACTGGTGTGTGAGGTCAGGAGTAGGACCCCCGACAGGAGATTGGAGCAGCGTGGCTGGGTCCGGCCGTGCCCCAGTGGGGTGTAGCTGGCGTGTGCGATCGGTGCAGGTGGCCCTCTTGGCTCTGGTGCCAGGACCCAACCCAGCGAGGGGCTAATGGAGAGGAAGGGTCTACCCCAGAGATGACAGGGCACTAGTCAGCTGAGCCAGCTTCTCACCCTCTGGGGCACGGCCCCGGCATGGTGCCCCTTGCGCTGGGGGGGTGCCCGAGGGCACGGTGTGGGTGCCCCAGCCAGGGCACTGTGGCCCTCCTCAGGGCACACCCAGCTGCGGGGCTGACTATCTCCTGCTTCCCCGTGGCAGGGGCGAGGAGAAGCTGCGGGGCACCCCGGGCACCCCAGGCAGGCACGACCTGGAGGCAGCGCTGCAGCGTCTGTCCGCCCGCCAGGAGAACCATGCCTCGGAGCGCTCCTTCTTCGAGACGGAGCGCGAGCAGAAGCTGAACCAACTGGCCAGGGACGTGGAGAGCTCCAGCGGCTTCCTCACGCCCAACGACAGCATCCTGTCCACCGGCACCAACTACTCAGGCAGCTCGGAGCACACCGGGGGCTCCGGCTTCTCCCTCGGCTCCCTCTCCTACCTGCCGGACAAGCTGCAGATCGTCAAGCCCCTGGAAGGTGAGTGAGGGGAACAAGCGGGCCTGGGGCACCTGGCGCAGAGGGGGGCCCCAGGGCGGGTGGTGAGGAACAGGCCAGGTTTGGGCTCACAGCATTAAACAGCCTTGAATGAGGTCCAGGGCTGGGCATCCGGAGCCCGCAGCCTGTGAAGGGACAGACGAGTGTTCTGCTTATAACAGCACACGGGATCTTTTTCAAGGGAAAAGGCAACACGCCGCATTTATTGGAAATACAGCAATGAGCACATGCATTCATTCACACACGCTGTCCCGCCCGTCGATGTTCTCGTTCCCAGTTTAGAGTTTGGATCCTCCTAGTGGCCAGCTCGGTTGATCACGGGTAGAGAGGAGCCGGGTTTTGTCGGTCGCAACACGATGCTCCGGGGAAGTCTTGGCCAGAGGAACCCAAAGCTTTATGGCAAGGCCCCCTGTTTATATAGTGTGGGTTGGTTTTTTTTTTTAATTAGGACTGAGTTTTGCACTGTTATGCTGTTGTTGTTTGAGTGCTTGTTAGTTTAATTTTTTTATTTTTTGGTGTGTTTTTTATTAAGTTGTTCAGGGAGTTACCCCAGGCTGGCCTTGATCACAGCTATTTTGTTCCCATTGGTAGATGCCGGTTTTATTTTTAGAGTCGTTAATTTGCCATCCTCTGACATTTCAATAGGGGCGTGTTGCAATCTCCTGGTGCCCTTACGTTTGTCCTCGGTTCCTCCCTAGAACGTCTGGCCCAGTGAGGCCTTTACACTTCTCTTCCAGCACCCACATTCACACACAACACAGGCTTGATTTACACAGCGCATTTGAACAGGAACATCAATCGTTGCATTGTTTTACTTTGAAATGCTAAAACCTACAACAAGTGGTGACCCTAAAAGGTCTGTTACCGCCTTGAAATCGGCTCAGATTCTGGCTGATGCATCTTTACCAATGGCCCCCTAGGCAGTTTCTTCCTGCGGTCAGAAAGGGTGGCTGGCAGGATATGATCAAATCCTACATCAATACATCTAATACAGGCTACGTTACTAGTCCTTATCCTTTATTCTAAATTATACAAAATACAAACATAACAATCCTCCCACTACAGGAGACGGCAAACCGGTTAAAGCCTCTGACGTGGAAGGGGTCAGTGAGGCGTTCAGTGGAACAATTTTTGTTCTCTCCCATTAGCTGGGGAGCTCTAGCAGGAACCCCCCCCTCCCCCGCCCCCAGTGTGGCAGGGTCTCGGTGGGTAACACCTGTCCAGCAGGGGAGGAAGTCCGCGGCGCGGAGCTGGGGCTTTCCTTGTGGCTGCTGTGAAAGTCCAACCCCGTTTCATCCCGGGGGGTCTGGGATTCAGCAGGAACCGGGAGAGGTGGTGATGTCTCTGGCCTGGTCTGCTCAGGGTCTCTCTGCGTTAGGCTGCAGATGGCCCAGGGGGAGGGGGGGAGGGTTGCAGCCATAATGGTGAAACTTGCATCAGGAGCCCCTCTCTTCTTTTGTCTTCCCCCCCCCCAAAGTCTCTTTGAGGCCCCAAGAGAGCATTGGGGAGGGGAGGGGAACAGCCTGTCCCCTTATTTGTCCCACACTTAGGCCTAATACCCAGCACCCCCATTTTGGGACCTTAATTTCTGCTTCCACCATCTTCTGTTTTTACTGAGCACAGTTTCAACGCAGGTCTGTCTGTCTGTCCTTCCTTTTCCCGTCGCCATTCGGCAGCCTCGGTTACTGTGACACTTGATGAACTTTCACTCCCTCCTCCCAGCTGAGCTCACCATTGGAGTCAGTTTAAGACCCAAATTCTCCCCCCGGGAGCCAGCTGGGTGCTGTGAACGCTGCTGCCCTCCAGGGGCTGGACTGGGCAGAGCCACGTCATCGCTGCTGGGGTCTCCTGTGTTGCAAACCTGGGATGTTCCCCCGCTGCAGGAGGTGGCTTGGGGAGGGCTCTGTGCACTGGGGCCCCTGGTGGCATGGGACGGAGCTGAGGGCTGGAGATCTGCATGGCTGGTGTCTCTGTCCCCAGGCTCGGTGACTCTCCACCACTGGCAGCAGCTGGCGAAGCCCAACCTGGGCGGGATCCTGGACCCCCGGCCCGGCGTGCTCACCAAAGACTTCCGGCAGCTGGACGTGGACCTGGAGGAGGTCTACAACCTGAACGACCTTGAGGAGGACGACGTGGACCTGAGCGCCTTCCCGGCACTCGCTGCCTCCACCCCGTCCAAAGCCAAGGGCTGCTCCAGTGGTGAGTGGGGGCTGATGGGGAGGGGAGGAGTGAGCCTGCCCTGGCGGGACCCTGAGCCAGCAGCAGGCAGGTATCAGCCTGGCCCTGCCCGGCCAGCGGGACTTGCCATGTCCCCTGCTGGGGTGCGACAAGGCTGGCGTCCTCTGCTCCACCCCATCCAGGTGCTTCCAGGACTTGCCCCGTCCCCCTGACCCCAGCCGCCGTCTCCTTCCGTGTCGGTCTGCACGTCCATCTTGTCTCAGTCATCCGCATGTGGATGCTGCGTCCGGCCATCTCGCCATTCTCTGGCTGGGCAGCCGTGCCAGGGCTCGAGAGACTCTCTCCCCCAGTCCCCGTGAGGCGCTCCGGTCCCCTGATGCCTTTGTTCTCTTGCCCCAGGGAGCTGCTCTCATGTGCCTGGTGTGCACAAAGGGGCCCTTGGCCTGCTCAGGAAACATCAGCCTCGGTCCTCGAATCTCTGCCCCGGCTGGGGTCCCCCGGGAGCCCTACAGAGCCCATGGGTCTGAGAGCCAGCCAGGGTCTCCCTGCCCCCACCCGCGTCTGCCTCCCTGCTGACTCGCCGGGGGCCCATGCCCCCCAGGTCTCTGTCCATCCCCCACCCATGCATTAACCCCGTGTCTCCTGTCCATGCCAGCGTTCCACTCCTCCATTAACAACCTCCCCCAGACTCCATCTACATTCACCATCACCACCTGCCACATCTTACACCCCAGCAAGGAGATCACCACAGTGACGCCCAGGTAAGGCGGCAAGGGCCCTGCCCTCCCACCCCCATCATCTCCCTGCGAACCAATCGTCCCCTCTCTACCCTGTCTCCTTTTCTCCCCCGCCCCCACCTTGGGCTGCTGGTTCTAGGCAGCGACACTCCTGGGGCAGGCGTCTCCTGCAGCCCCGATGCTCTGAGGCGCTCGGTGCTAACGTAAGAGTCCCCGTATCACGCTGGCAGCCGGGCGCGGCAGCCCCACAGACACCGAGCTCGGGGGGCAGGGGACGTGCACACTGCAGGAAGGGTCCCTTCAGCTGTCTGTGGAGCGCCCCCTGCTGCCTGTCTGGGCGGGATCCCAGGGGGCTATCGCCTGCTGGCCCCTGCTCTGGGTCAGGACTCGGCTGTCCCCCAAGTCTGCCCCCCTGCAGGCTGCGAGGTGTGAGTGGGGTTCCCGCCGGACTGGACTGCAGAGGCTGGGCCAGGCTGCTCCTCCCTACGTGCCCCATTACGTCCCCCCCCGGCTGCGCTTGGGAACTGGCGAACCAGGGTGTCCCTGTCGTGCGGGTTGGGTGCTAAGAAGCCCTGCTCCCTAAGGAACCAGCGGGTGGCTGCTCCTGGCCGGCTGCCGAGCCCGTCGGAGCTGGGCCCAGCGCTGGAGCAAGAGGGAACAGGCAGCTGTTGCCTCCCATGAGATGAAGGGAGTTCTGTGCAGCCCAGGAGTCGGCTCTCTGCAGAGACCTGGCCCTGACTGTGACATGAATGAGCAATTGGACAGCAGGAGCCGCCCCCCGGGCTGAGATTCCCAACGTGCCAGGGGCCCTGACAGTGCCATGCTCCATGTGGGTAGGTCGTGCCCCCCTGCATGTGGGGGGAGCAGCCTGGGTCCAGCCTCTGTCTCTGGGGAGCACCAACTAACCCACTAACCAGTAGCTGCCTGGACACAGGATGTGCCATTAACCCCCCTCCCTTTTCTCTCTAGGCCTAAAGAGACTAACATGGCTGCCCCCAGCCTGGGCCAGGGGGTCCCAAACTCGCTGGGGGCTCTCTGCACCTTGTGACTTGGCTAAGGGGGGGTGGGGGTTGGCTGCTGCAGGTTAACGGTAAAGGATTCGTTAAGCAAACGAGCTAATGGGATCGGTGCCTGGAAAGAGGAGCTCCTTGCCCAGGGCAGAGCTAGCCGTGGGTGAGGGACTCCCCGAACAGACCAGTTCTCACCCAGGGCAAATTCCTTCAGGGCTGGCAATGGGCGTTTGCAAGGGCTGCAGGGGGCGTCACACTGCGCCGGGCAGGAGCCTGTGGCACCTGGACAGTCAGGGCCCCAGAGCGAGTCAGGAACAGAGCCAGGAGTAGAACCCAGGAGTCCGGAGCTTGGCACAGAGCCGGGGGGTGGGGAGAATGGGGCATGGGGAGCGCCAGAGGTCAGGGCACTGTGGGGAAAGCTCACCCCAGAGTCAGAGCTCCTCGTTCCTAGGTCAGGCTCCGCCTGTGGGGCTGCCACCTCCTTGTACTGACCAGCTCTCTCCCCTCTCTCTCCTCCCCAGTCTTTATAATACAGTCGTGCCCTCTTGTGGGCCCTTTGACAGGCTGAGTGCCGCTGGCCCCGTGCCCCAGGCGCTGGAGCCTGGCCCCAGGGCGCTGTCTGCGCCTCTCGGACTCGTCACGCTGCTGCTGGAACACGGCATCTCTGCTTCGGTGCGGGCTGGCAATGCCCTGGCTGCGCTACGGGCGCCGGAGCCCCCCTCCTGGCTCTCCCCCTTGAGGGAGCAGTGGGACAGCCTGGGGGGGAGGTCTCTGGGCAGCTCAGGCTTGGCTCAGCCCTTCCCGAGGGCCCACGGGCTGGATGACGGCAGGGCCGCTGGGCCCAGCGGAGCCCAGAGCAAGAGCAACATCTTCAGCTGGAACCTGGTGGAGAAGCTGAAGAGACTCAGGCTGGACAAAGTGGTGGCCAGAGGAGAGGCCTCCTTCCGGGGCGCAGGGGAGAGAAGACAGCCCGTCGGGCCACCGGCCCCCACCACGCAGCCGTGAGCCTCCTCGCTGGGCTATGACTCCCTGCAGAGCAACGTGGCTCCCTCCTGGGCCTCCCCATCACCCCCTTTCCAGCCAGCCGGGAGCCGGCGAGGGGGGGTGAGAGCGGTGATCCGTCCGGGTCTGGGCTGCTGGCGGGAGCTGGTCTCAGCAGAGGGGTCTGCTCTGTCCTAATTTATTTCCAGCCACGGTTAGTGGGTCCCCAGCGTGAGGGCGGGGGGGCCACAGGTGATGGCGGGGGTGGGGTGACCGTTTTCTGAGTGGCCATGAGAACGGGTGCATCAGCTGCTGCAGTTTAATAAGCACCTGGGATCTCTGCCACTGAGCCGGGAGTAGGGGACGTGTCCCCTGGGGGGCTCAGGCTGCCCCATGGCAACCCCCCCCCGGTGCAGCAGGTCTCCCGCATGCCCCGTGACAAGGGGGTGAGGCCGGGGACCCTCTGCTGAGCTGGAACTCAGCTTTGGGCTGTAACATTGGCTCTGGTCTCTTCAGAGCAGGGGCTTGGAGCAGCGCTGAGTGCACGCTGGGGCCGGGGGGGGCCTCCTGGGGGGCCTCCGTCCCCTGTCCTATCCTTCCCCCTGCTCCCTCGGCAGGACAGCAGCATCTCAGCCTCCGCTGCTCCTGGGGGGGACGGAAAGGTAGGGGCTGGGGGGGGGGTCAGGATCACGAAATGGCGTCTGGAAGCTCTGGGGCCGAGGGGCAGTGGGTCTGGGGAGGGAAGTTTGCGCAGCCCCTGCTCTGAGGGGCTCTAGCAACCTCCCTGAGCCCTGACCTTGCCTTCCGCTAAAGCTGGTGGGCACAGATTTTTTTTTTGGGGTGGGGGGGCGATCTGTCCTTGGAACCACAGTCAGGGGAGCGGCTCAGGTCTGTGGTTTACGTGAGGTGGTGCCGGTGGCTCCTGTCACTGCCTGAGCCCCCTCCCCACGCTCGCTCTTAGCCGAACACAGGGGTGGGGAAGGCCGGGTCCTGTGGCCGCGGCTGTCAAGGGGAGTGGGGGGCTTAGGACCTAGCTGAGGGACAGGCAGTGTTGTTCCAGCCAGGGAGGGGGCAGTGACTCTCAAGGACGTGCCAGGCCATCCTCGTAACAGCCTGAGGGCTGGGCCGGGCCCCACGGGGGGGGGGGGGGGGAGACAATCTGCCCTCCTGGAGCGTCAGGGAGGGGTAAATGCAGGAGGTCCTGGGCTGTCCTGTGGGCCCTGCTCTACTGTTAATGTTGGACAATCGCAGAACTGCCCAGCCCAGCCCAAGCAATTCTGGCCCAAGTCCCTGGCCCTGGGCTGTGCTCGCATTCCTGGGCAGGCAGGGTGATTTCCAGTCACCCAGCAGGACGCGGCCCTGGGCCAGCAGCCGGCCAGTCTTTTAAAAACACTGAGATTTTTAAACAACTGTTTTGTCTTGTATCAATCAACTAAGCTACTGAGAAGGCTCCGCCCCTTCCCAGCAGGGGGCGGGGCCTGCATGCTGCTCAGGGCATGGCTCAGGTTCCTGGGTCGGAGTAGCTGTTGCATGCACATCTGCTGCTCCCAAAGTCCCGCTGTTCTCTCTAGTCTCTGCACTAGCTGGTGTTACCCCCGCCCCCCCCCAGCTGTGTCTTTCTGGTGAAATAAACACGACGTAATCAGAACCGGCTCCAGCCTGGTGTTTGCGGCGCTATCTGAGCAGGGCGGGGGCTTGTGGGGCCAGACACCTCAAGTGCCGGGTGTGCTGAGGCTGATGGGCCTGGCCCTGACAAGACCCCAGCAGTGGGGCAGTCTCTAGAGCTGCCCCTATGGGGCTTGAGGCTGGGGGGGTTGGCAGGTGTCGGCTGCTTGGTTGTGGCCTTTCAAAGGCCGGTCCCTTGTCTCACTCTTGCCCCGTGCTGCATGGGGCAGGAGCCAGGCATGTAGGCCCTGCTCCACATGAACGCTGCAGGGACCTGCGGGTGGGGGGCGAGATGGTGCTCGTGTTGCCCCCAGGGGCCCGGACTAAAGCAGGTCCCGCTGCTGAGCCGTCCTACAGTGAGGGTGGCTGCTTGGAGGGATTGGTTGAAACACCCCTGCAAGCATCGCCACACACACAGCTGTTCTGAGCGGACACACTTAGCCTGACAGGACTGGCCCAGCAATTGAGCTCTGGCATCGTCTACACATCTGGGGCCAGGGGCAGGGAGAAGCGGGGCCAGGGAAGGCAATTTTATTACGATTCTTGCAATTGTTTTCCTTTAGCCCCAGCTCCTGGAGTCATGGGATTGTTGGGCTTTCTTACCACTCACTCTGCTCTTTGGAAGCCCTTCTCCTGCCTCAGGGCTTGACCAGTGAGTCCTGAACATGGAGGGCTAGTGGGCATGGAAAGCAGTGGGGCAGGGGTGGGGGAGCTGCTGCTGGGGAGGAGCCCTATGCTGGGGGCGGGAGCAACCTTCCCTCTCCACTTCAGGCCTTGCTGGCCAGGGAGCTGCAGCATGACCAGACCTCACCCTGCTGCTGCTTTTCCTGTCTTCCCCCCTCCCCCTGCCGAGGCCTGGAACCTCTGACACCCCCTCGACTTCCCCACCCCATCTTCACTCCACCCGCCCCCAGCATTACCTGTCCCCTAGGGCACCAGCTCACCCCTTTGCAGGCTGCCCCCCTGTGGCCATAGAGGGGACTGGAGCCCCAGGCTGGGCCTTGGCTTTTTAATTAAGGGTGGGGGGAGAGATTCTCTGGCTATAGCTCTCTTCTTCCCTCCCCCCCCCCCACATCTTTATTTTTAAAGTGAGCAGAAGGGGGGGGAGGGGAAGGAAGCACTGGCTTCAACAGACTAAATTAACATAAATTACCATGCGTTGGCCTCAGGTGGGGCAGCGGGACTGTACCCGGAGGGGAGGTGGCCCTTGCAGCTGCCTGTTCTGGGTTCAAGGCCGGCTCCCCAGGGCTACCTGAGCCCCAGCAAACCCCCACTGAGCCTGTGGGGCGAGCTGCCCGTCCCCATCCCCATCCCCGCCCAGGAGCACACCCGGGCTGGGAGTCTCCGGGTGGAAGCCAGTCCTAGGTTCCAGGGCCACAGGGAGCTGCGTCCGGCTCCATGGGAGAGCAAAAACCCCGGGGCCCCGAGGTGGGGCTGACGGCCTCGCCATCAGTGTCCCTGGGGCGCTGGTGGGGCCCTGCCGAGGGATGTATGGGATCTATGGGAAGCTGCACGAGCAGTAGCTGGCTGCCTTCTACAGCTGGGTCCTGAGCCCCTAAAGCCAGGGGGGAGTGAGGCCCGGGGAGGGGACGTGGGGCAGAACCCAGGTGTCCTGCTGTGGCCTCAGGCCCGGCCCCCGTCTGGCCTAGCTCACGGCGCAGCGAGAACAGACACCACAGGGGTTTGCTGAGCAGAGTTTATTGGTGAGCAGCAGCAAAGGGCTTCGAAGACAAGGTCGCGTGTGACATGCTTAAAAATATGTACCAGCGGGTGGAGCCTGCAGCTGCCCCGCCCCCACGGGCAGGGCGGAGCCAAGCCCCGCGGGCCGCTGCTCCTCTAGGAGGCCTCGTCGGACTCGGACAGGCTCCGGCGCCCGAAGTCCATCCAGCCGGGATAATCGTGGTCGTGCAGGGGGCGCAGGGCAGCGTCCTCGTGCCAGTGCCCCTCCCGGTTTGCCAGCTCTGCCGGGAGTGGGAGCAGAGACACCAATTAGCCCCCTGCCCAGAGCCCGCTGGCGGCACCCCCTGAGCTGCACCAATGTGCTGTGTGGGGAGGGGCTGGCCTCAGGGGCAACCTGGTCAGCTGTTCTTCTCCCCCCCCCCCCCCCCCCCCCCC